ACATGATGTTATACGGCCATTTTCATTCATGCTGAACAATAAACAAAATATGACATCAACCAATCATAATAAGGAAAGATAACCGACGAAGTAGGTCAAATCACGTGCTCATACGCGACAGTACTAACAAGAAGGCGTCATAGATATCTGTTAGCAGTGATGACGTGTTGCTCACTGAAGTACAGTGATGTATTACTGCGGTATATCGACCACGAGCCACCTGTTGATCATCACCTGCTGATATTCGAACGAAACTCGTATGTGCGCATGTGTGTCCTACTTCACCTGGTATGGCCCAGATCTTCCTCAGTGGGAATAGTCAGTTGGGTATGTTTCACACGTACAGTGCCACATTATTACGCGTCCATTAATGACCTGTTTAGCCAAGTTACTGGACTTCGTGTCTACGTTTAAAGGCACTTCCGCTGTTTCAGTAGTTGGTGTCGATAAGTTAAAGTTGACAAGTTTTGTAGTTCTTCTTCTCGTCATTGCATATGACCGTTCATGGCTAGGCAGTATTATAGATCAAGGCGCGCAGTATCACGCGTCGGTATAGAGCATATCCTCTTCAATACGTGTTTTCGTGTGATCTTTCTTTTCTTTACAGTTGATAGATAATCGAAAACGATATTCGCGTTTCTCTTGTTGCCGTCAAACAACCAGCGACAACCACCGATCGTTACTATGATGGGGATTTCCCTTCTATCTTGAGGCCCACTCAGGTCTTCTCGCCACCTCTTTAGGCTAACGGCCCGGCGATGGTTCCTATTTTGACGGCGATCCGCTGTACCTTCTGTTCACGGCATGTTGATGGTGGTCCACAGGCCCTTCTTTTCGAGGTCCACGAATGACATAGCAGCAAGAGAATCACGTCTGCATCGCGGCCTATACCAAAAATAATCGCATAACGGCACCAGTATCATAACGTAAACGTGCTAAAAAACATAAAAAGTGCTAACGGCCAGCCGTTGACCGACAAAACGTTATAGGCCAACCTAATGGCTTATAGACCCGAAGCCATTTCGAAATATATCAGGCACTAGCTAATTTGCTTCATCTCCTCACCCTACGCCTTTGCGCATGCGACCAGCCTTCAGGCCCTAACCGAATCAAGCAATTTTAGGAAAATAGAATTGCGGAGAGCGGCCTATTCGTGTCATCTAGCGCCGATCCCTGCTGCTGTGTGGAGGTGCGCCGCAATGCGGGATGTTGCCATTGCTTAAACTGTTGTCGTCTCTCTATTCGAGAGTTAGGGTCGGAGAAAATCCAGCAGTAAAAGGCTCAGGTCACACTGCAAGCAAGCCAACCCGTTCGTGCAAAGCATCCCAACGGACTTCTAGGCAAGGGATGATCACAATTCGGACAAGGTGTGCCATTGTGCTCGTAATTCTCAATACGATGCTATTTACGTTTGCGGTCGTGTGCTTCTCGATGCACGTCATGGATCGCGCCTCGCCAGCGTGGAAAGGCGGGTCTGGTTTGCCGAAGATGCATCAGCAGTTTTTGCCGCAACGAGCGCATCGGGCACGAAATCGCCTCCTAATGAAAGAGGACGTGCCGTGTACGTATAACAATACGATGACGTTGTTTATCCTTTCCGACGGAGTCAATCGTGAGAGACGGAGCTCGCTGCGTCGGATATATCGTGGCCGAAGAAGCGTACGCAACTTTTGCATGAAATACTTTTTTGTCATATACGGTGAATTGCAGAAGAGTGAGAAGGTCTTATCTGATTATTTGATGATTTCATCATATATTCAAGATTACGTGGAACCTCAAAAGATCCATTTTGCGTACAAGAGCAAACCTAAAGTGGATCTTAAGCTGAAGTCGGCCTTAAGCGCGTTACAAGATCCGACGAGTTCTGAGAGCTCGAGCGAGGAGACCACTGAGGATGAGTCTGAAGAGACCGTTGAGGAGACCATCGAAGAAGATGATACCCAGAAAAAAAATCGAACTAATCGTGTTAATGCCACTCTAGATGCTTTATTAAAGGGTAGAGATGTCGGTAAAAGACACCTAAGGTATCGGATACAGGTAACAACATTGCCTCCTCGGAATAGCCCGCATAATATTGATGCACTTTTACAAGCTCTCTCGACACCAAACGACGTTAGAGCTGCGAAAATCCCCGTAGTTAGGCCTTCGATAATGGGCCCCAATATAACTAGGAATGTTAGTGTCAACTACACTGGTATCGATGGACAACTTCCGCGTAGACTTAAAGAGGTATTTTCATCGAAGTACAGACTTCGTTCTCAGCGTGACGAGCTCGACGCTCATACAGAAATGGCGAGCGACGAGGACCACTCAACAACCACCACTGCACCCAGCTTTTTCGAGGGTCTCGCAAGTGGGGTGAAGAGTCTATTTGAAGTGACTTCGAAGACTCGCACAACCACACCAACGCCTGTCGACGACGAGGAAGAAGTGCTGGAACTATCTGACTACGAGAAGGAAGAGAAACCACGGGTGACGCCATTCGCGACCCGCTGCGATGGTCGCACCTGTGTCCCGATTGAACCACCGGAACCGTGCAACTGCAGCGAAAGGATGACAGAACGACTCGCACCAGACTCGCCAAGTCGGATGAACTCGTTTATAAGCATCTCGAAAATACAAGACAATCGTCGACTTGAAGAGGCATCGTCGAACTCCCGCTGGAAGGTGTTCGTTCAAGATCAGCAGCCTATCGAACTGAACAGTCTTGTAGCGTACCTTAACCACGAGGCAAAGGTACTAGCTAAACTGGAGCCATGTTGTAGTTCCCTGGATGGCTGTCCTGGCTGCAATCACATGTTTCAGCAAAAACTGCTTGTCTCGACGAAACTCGTGCCCACGATATCTACAAAAGACACGTTTGCGTTAGAAGATGATGTTCGAAAGATTCTCTGGAATGACCCGAACGATGTAATTCTTGAATTTCACGTCGAGCCCCGCGGTCGAAAGGTGACGCGGTACTGGAAAGTGTTCAATATGTAAGCAGGACGGCCGGAGGGATATACACACAGTTTGTGCGTTTCCGGCGTAAAAAAATTATCGTCCATTTGTCAACACATGGCAGGCACCAGAGACGATTACAAGCAATACTGGACACAAGCCTGTGCTTGAGACGAGGAAGGTTGTCTCTATATAACACCAATACACTTAACACCATTTGTAGAACATTATGTAGGATCTAAAGCTTGTGAATATTGATAGCATTGTTGCATTGTGTCTATTGTACTTTAATTTTCGTCTCGTAGTTGTATATGATGGTTGCTGAAAAATAGAACCATATACGAATGGGTAGGACCGAAAAGAAGGACAGTATTGTGCTTAGCGATAGAACGACCTCGTCGTTATACCAGAATGGTGTCGTACTGTTTCACCGCGTACCCTATTAACTGTTTGCTAAGTGCTTGGTAGTACATTGGAAATATTAAAATTGATCGTTACGAGAGAAGCGGCGGAATGCATTGCGTGAGTGTGTGTTGGAGCCGATCTATCGCAATAGCAATCAGTCTTGACCCTATTTAGCGTTTGGCAAAGTGGCGGTGGGGAAGATGGCTTCCTCAAGGATTCGCTGGATGACCACTAGACGACACTACTGCATATTACAGACGAACGATACGGTCAAAAAGATTTGGAAATCGAGGTCCACTATTTGCCATTTTCACTGTATTATACCTATCCCATGAGTAATGAACGATGATAATGGCTATAGCAATGATGATTCAAAAATGGTTCACGGAAAGCTGTTGAAATATATGTATATAGGGTATACAACTGTGACCACCATAGCGAATAGCGTTGTTGATATTATAATCTCTGTTCCATTGGAGCAACTGTATTTTTGTTTTTGTAGAATATGCCCGTTTAAGCGAAAGTCTGACAAATAAAGTTGCTACAGACGCCACTGTCAATATATGGTATTTTTTAGCATACGTGTGAGAAGATGAGATTATATGAGTCAAAATTTGCTCAGGGAAGGCCATTAACGGCATCGAAAACAACTAACTGATATCAGAATACGCGAAAGATATTCTTCTATTGTGTGGCTCCATTGGGCTTACTATAATTTTGTTTATTTTCGAAAAAAAAACATCAGGAGAAGACATTTATGCCGTTGGTTTATAAAGGTCTACAAGGTGGGGTTATACGACCCAAATGTGAAGGCAACATTGGCTACCAATGATTCCCAGTCATTCAACAAAGTTAAGGGAAAACGTTTTTCTTCCTAGGAAGAGCTGTGGTATAGCTAGAAAATACGATGTTTAATAATAATTTACGCGTATGGTAAAAAATCAAAAGTGTTCATTTGGCCTGTTTATCTTCCAGCTGAACTTCGATAGAATGATAATAATACAATTTGAAATATTTAACGTTTAAAATTTGGTCAAATAGACAATCTAGGAAATCGAACTGCATATAGTTGGAAATTCGTGTGCATCTAAAGATGGCGAAAGGTTTAACGGTATTAAAATTGTAAACCAACGTTCGTTTACGGGAGAGAAACGTAATGGCCCCAGGTCCCGTATATATCCCCGCTCTCATTAAGTTCTGTGTTTATACGAATGAATCAAGCGGGTACATGTATATATAACTGAACTCTGTAGATGATTAAAACTTGAACTTCTGGCGTTGAACAATGTACATAAGTAATATTGCCCACCACTTTTCAGATATTCGGACTATACAAGGAAATACCACCTTGGCATTCGCTGAGGTAATCTTTTCTTGTATAACAATGCTTATTATCATTGTTTCATCAACAATAAGACTTGACCACTGTGTTACAGCTTACAATTAAATTTTTAAAATTTTTCTCATCCTTAAATGTGGAAGCCGGTACGCCCGAATCGTAAACAGTCACATCATGATCTAGGAGAAGGCCACATAATCCTAACACACTTAATTATATTGAATAAATTGGTAGTAACGTATGAGTGAATTAGCAGTTCTCACATGTCATTTTTTACCGTACAGAGGAGGCTTTTGTCTTTGAATAAAACACGTCAACTTCTTTATTTCTTCTCAAGAACTAAATAAGTAAATTGAAAGAACTTAAAAACCGTAGTAACCTATAAGTGAATATGGATTGTTCGCGTATTTATTACAGCAGAGGGTAGACATTTTTACAGAAAGCATCTTCTCTCTATTGTTTTGAGATCATAAAATATAACAACCATCAATGAAATGGGCTATATTTACAATAATAATCACTGCAAACATACGATACGGTATTCCACACAAATCTCCAATTATATATCATATTATTTTTATACTACAATGTCACTAGGTATCCTTATCCACGTTTTTCGTGAAATCGAGATATTTTAAAGCATGTAGAATGCTTCCAGAACAGCAAAAGTGCGAACTACTCTTTAGAGCTCTTAGACTGTACTGTGACTATTTTTAAATGTAGGTAATTATACTCTTACATTAATTTCAATTCCCCAATATCATTAATCATAACTAGAACATAATGTTCGCAGGACGCATCTACGACTGCGCCATATTGACGATTTGAAATAGTGCAAAACTGACAACAAAACCTTGTTGGCAACCATCGTTCACCGCATACGAGCCATAATAGAGAAGTTCGTATATAAATATACACATGTACGTATATATTTATACACTAAGCAATGTTGCTTATTCTTCATTTTATAACATAACTGGTTTGCGAAGTGGATTAAACACATGAGCTTGGATCTTCGGAAAGCACTTACTGTATCACTACCGTCCACGGAGCTTAACGGGTATTTGAACTTTCATTGAAGACACCACACATAGTACCACGCATAGCTGCGGTTCACCTCCGACCAAGATATGTGCAGTCAATTTTAATTCGCTCATGACGATGTCACACTCGACACGCTCACCCACCCACCCACAAACTCGAAGCTATACGTATATATATATATATTAAGAAACATTAATTCTGAGTCTCAAGAGTCAAATTTTTTGTTATATAGCGGCTGAAAGATTTATACAACGAATGTTTTGCTTCATGGCTATTTATTCACGTATCTCCGTTTTACAACCGATAGTAAATGGCATTGTGAAAATGGTGCCAAATTGAGTTTGCAAAGACGAATAATTTCTTGCGTCCTCATACACTTAATTAGTTCAGCTCTAGCTAAAATAATCTCATGCCCTTATCACGGTTAATACAAAATTTTCATTATGTGTAAATTATTCTATACATATGTGTGTACGTATATATCTACAGGGGAAAAACTGTCATTTCTTTGACCTTGTCACGTTATGGGATTCTCTCTTGGAGGTGTTTTTGCGGGCCCCGTTACCCTCCGCTGTTGGAAGCAATGCTGCTGCTTTTGCGTGGCGTGCACTTCTCCGAGGTGTCATTGGCCCGTCCGCCGTCTCCACTGTATTTACAGCTAACGCGGCACCCGAACGGGCCGGTATTCTCGATGCGCGAGCTGCTCGAGTGGGTTCTTTAATTTTGTTTGATGGTTCCCTTACGACCGCGTTATCATCATTTACTTTGCTATTTCGAGTAGAGGACGGTGTTGCCTTCGCTTTCGAAGTGAGCTTCGTAGTGGATGGTGTCATTTGTTCGAGAGAACCTGGCGGCTCGGCGTCTGTTTGAGACACCTGATAAGATCGTTCAGAAGCAGTCGAAGTGCTTGGGGTCTTCGCTAGCGCTGGAGTTCTGGCTTTACTTCGTGTAGATCTCGTCACTCTTGACGGCTGCCGAGGAGTGAGATAAGTAGTCTCCACTTCTGTGTCGACGTTAGCGGGTGTCTCGTCCGCTACGACTCCAGTAACGGCTGTTTCTTCGTCTTTTAATGGATTAACATTCTTTTTCTCTGGAGAGGTTTCATCATTTTCTAAAACTTGCGCTCTCATCTTGCGCAAACTGCCTTTCTCATCCACTAGTCGAGGAGCACTATCCACTGCAACAGAATCTTCACGAAGGGCTTTTTTTATGACAGACTGCTTCGGCGGATCTGCATTTACGTATGCCCTTGCAGAATGTTCTTCAATCAACTCGTTTCGCACAGTTTCCTGATGGGGCAAAGCTTTCGTAGCGGTTTCACTTCGAAGCTCCTCTGCAATTTTATGCAACTTTTCAGAACCAGATCCTGGCTCAACCTCGTTTGTTACAGCCGACGAATCTTGCGGAGAATCGCATATAGGCTTCTCTGTATCTACCTTGCCTTTGATGCTTGTACCGACAATCTCGGACTCGACCGTTGATTCTGCAGTACCCTCGTTCAAACCGAATGCTCCGATGGACGTATCATCCTTGCGAGGATTTTCACTACGGTTTAAACTATCAAGCGGTGATATCAACACATCCTGCTCAGTGTTTTCATCTTGAGTACTAAGTTCAGTGACCATTGAACCTGCCTTCTCTGTCCTTGTCTTACTGTGTTTTTCAGTGACATTTAAGACTTTAGACAGCTGATCGGAAGAAGAGTCACTTTCAGAATCCTCATCGTCTTCATTATCAAGGGTTGCCTTGGATTTTGTTAAAGCTACCTGAACCTCGTTTTTGTTCAAAGGCCCAGAATCAGACGTGGCTTCGGAACTTACAATGCTGTCAGGGGAATTCAAAATAGACTCCAGGTCAATGTTTTTGGCAGGCTGAACTTCTTCTATTGGCTCTTCAGACTCACAAGACTTCGAAGCTGAAGATTCTGTAGGAAAGGTCTCTTCTATATCTTCATTTGGTTTTGTACCATACGACGCTTTCGTACTTAACTTTTTAGTACTTTTGTTCTCTGTACTAGAATAGTCGCATGCAATCACGAAACTCGACGCGTCTTTTTTTGACTTTTCTTGATTCTCTGAAGCCTCGATCACATGTATCAAGGCTTTTACGGTAAGTGGATTAGATATTTGCGATGCGCTCGAAATATCAGCCTGGCTACTTGCACCTGGAACTTTCAAAATGCCCGTGTTAGTCCTACTCAAAGGACTATCTTGCTCTACACGCATATTATTGCCAGAGACAACCGGAGTGAGAAGGACCGATGTTTCCATAGGCTCTTCCTCATCGAGTATGATTTGTGACCTCCGCTGCTTGAAGACGTCAACCATTTTAGAAGAATGTGAGAATTCCGAAGTCATACAAGCTGCTTCGGAGCTGACAGATGGTTTAGAATCTGCAACCTGCATGATCTCGCTCAAGGTAGTATGCCTCGCTTGATGTATCACTTTTGGTTCCATGCTTACAGAATGACTATGTTCGTATTCGTCTAATTTTACTACTTGGTCGACAATGCTATGCGTAGTTTTTCGCACCTCGTCATCACTTAGATCCATCCTGACTCTCGAGAATACATCAGAATTATTCGTTAATATGTTGGCAATATGATCTGGAGTTGATTCCACGATATCACTTTCTGGTCGTGCAGCCAAAAAGTTTGCCGGCGAACCCGGACTCATTAAATCCTCGTCGTTTCTAGTGCCTTCCGCCATTGCTCCCGCGTTTTTACCAGGTGAACGCTCGACAGCTAGACCTACTTGCTGCCCGACTGGCTGTAAAGTTGCATGATCTTCTTCAGTCGGTTCTTCGAGTTTGAGATCTATCTCAGACGTCGGGTCGCTCGGGTTATCTGAAAGACGCGGTTGCTTCTCGTCTTCATCTGGCGGCAAGTTAGCGAGGCTTTCATTTAATGTCCTTTCCCCATGATCGTCATATACATCGCCATCTGTTGATATATCGTTAAGTGTTCGAGAACGGTCCTCAAGTTCAACTTCTTCTGTAGCGTCGCAGTAGCTCTCTGCTTTTATGGTTCCGGCAGCCATTATATCCAAGTGATCAATGCTACCAACTTCTGGTCCATTGGCGCCGCTTCTGAGCTGCTGATCGGCTGGAGGAACAATAAAGCTTGGTCGCCGTTCGTGCTTTTTAGGTATCTTCACAGCGGAGTGAGATCCCAATGGAGAATCACTATGTTTGTTATTTTCGATTTCACTGGATGGAGAGTTCTCGGGAAAGTTTTGTTTTGGCTGACGTCCTTGATAGCAATTATTCAGCTTGTAATTCTTGGAGACACGCTCTGGACATTCTTGCATCACTTTTGTGTCACTGGAAATATCGATATGAGGCTCTATTGCTGTAAGCGCAGCCCACTTTGAATCGGCTTCACTCGACCATCGGGTCACGGGAGAGGTATCCGCTTTGTCTGCTTCCATCATTGAAGTTGGTGCATAATCGCCATTACCGACGAGATCATACTTCGCCGGAGCACATATCGCCTCTGCAAAAGGAGTAGCCGAATTAGTCGATACCATTTCCAAAGCGATCCTTTGTTCGTCTTGCTGGAAGTTAGGTCGCACAATACGGGTATTAGCCGATAAATCCTGTTTGGTCCACAATGTGGGCTTGATTTTCGAAAAGGCATTGGGCATTTCTATTTCATCTGCTGCAACTGGTAAGCTGTATCGCTTCTCTGAATCAATTTTCCGAAAGCTGCTGCCACTGGAAGGACTGAGTGTACGACGCAGTGATGTAGCCGAACGGGATAACCCAGATGGGCACAATGTTTCGCTGCTTGTTGCACAAGCCTCCAAAGGATCTTCATAGAACTTTTTCTCTAACGACATCTTACCCACTACAACTTCGGGATTCTCCATTGCATTCTCTACAGCAAAACCATTAAGTTGGTCATCTTCATCGTCTAAAGGATCAATGCATAGTAGATTGCCGCAACTGCAGTACAGAATCCACCAAGTAAATTTAAATGTTAGTACTGGATTAGCGGACGAATCAAACGCGGTACTATAGTCAGTTCAGCAATTTTGAATAGCTCGTATGCGCCCAACATTGCACAACATAGCTCACTCGACAATTGAAAATTAACCTAAATTCCGTCTGATTCTGTAAAGGCCCTAGAATGCATCTAGTCCAGAGTATTTGGATGTCGTAAATAGGAAAACGACATCTTTCTTTTTTGAATGCTTCATAAATAGAAAAGGAAATTCTACTTATATAGAAATATAATATATATATATATATATATATATATAGAAATAGAAAAAGGGACGAATATAGTCAAATTTGTTCTCTTCTCTGTCTTTATACCCTGCTCGAATTGAGGTTCCTAGCCTAGAAGGTCATTTAGGCGATGCAAAAACAGCAGTGCTAAGGTCTGTCGCAAAAAAAAACTTACGGAGTGCCCTTCGCGTATACCCTACGCCGATAATTGGAAACATTGGCGCTATCGCTGTGAGAGTCCGACTTTTCGAGAGAGTTCTGTAATCAAGTAAGGTGAAGAGCGTATGTTTGATCATGTACGAATTCAAATTAGGCTGATTAACGAAATTTACAGGCCCCACGACGGGAGTGTCTCACGGTAATTCAAAATGGTTTGCTCGACAATATGGCATTTTTTATACTTTTGGATATTATAGGATTGGTTATCCTATCCGAAACTCGCAAATAGATTGATCTTGATTTTTTTTTCTATTTAATCTTTCAGAACTAACGAGGCTAATTAGAAACTCACTTGTAGCTTAGGAGTCTCAAAAATTCTTCTAGGGGTTGAATCAACAGAAATCCGCCTGATTGCAGTTGTCGACTTTCGTACGTCAGCGTCCTCAATATGTACACTGGTGGCCTTTTTTCGTTTTTTAGGGAGGTGAGCATCGGCTTCATTGATAGGAGATTCGATTGAGGGTGAACCGCGAGCAGAAAACGTTCGAGCCGCAAGTCGTGATATTGTACTTTGGGAAGCTGCCGCTGTAACCTTTCCCACAGCCTTCACAGTGTCAGCTTTATTTTCGCGAATATTCGGAGACTCAGCAAATGTCACGTGTTTAGTAGATGTGCAAGGTTCTCGGGACAACTGGGCATCGCCTCCCGCTGTTTCTAGTGTCTATTGAAAAATGGTGCGCACACAATCGACAATTTACTGACACTATATCAACATCTACTAATATAATGAAGAGTTCTTAGACATTTATGAATCGACATTCACGAGTTTGCATCAAAGCAGGACCTTAACTGATGGAGTAAGGGCACACAGAGTGTAGAATTGCTCAAGAAGGGTAGTTCGGCAAGTAATTGGCTCCGTTTCACAAACAATAAACACACCTTCTTAGCACGTGGACTTATTCTTGTAACAGTGAATCCACTCACATGACCAATGACGTTCGTCGCTGATGTTTTGCTGCTAAGAACAAAACAACCACACGCATAGCTAAGAATTAGTAACACAGAACGATGCGAGGCTGCCAGACGCTTATCGCTACAATGGAGGTCCACAGCAACAATGAGGGTTCTCTGCGTTTTTCTCGTTTAGTCTATTCGTTCGTACAGGTCACCTCTACTACCTGCGTATCGGAAAGTAACTCGGTATTTTCAGCTGTCAGTTTAAATGAGAGGTAATTAATTATGTCTAGCCAAATACGCGAACGAAACCGCTTGCCCCTAATGTCTGGTAAACAATAAATAAAAAGTGATTGCAAATCGAAATTAATTTGTCCTAACGTCAGAAATTCAAGCAAGCGTCATATCGAACGAATAGCCGCAAAAATCCGACAGAAATTCAGCAAATGTCATCGACAACCGCACACCAAGTTGGTATGGTTTCATAACAAACCAAAAATGACAGCTTTGGCCACGTTACATGCTAATATACATGAATGTAGAATCTCCAAAGGCAGACGTCATTTATAGCTTGAAAAAAAAATATATTTAAATATCGTTTTATTTATAAACCGTTTTTGCATACCACTAACGTTGCCTAGGTAATGGTATTTGTTATTCACTGCGTTTTGTGGTGGCCTTACGCATTTGCTAGACGTGTCCGTAACGAGTCTCAATGCCCTCAGGCCAAGGCTGCCCCGCTGAAAATGAATAGAATCCTTGTACGCGGAGAAAAAATGCAACAATAATAATTAGTAAACCTTTTTCAAAAAGTGCTATAATACGTACGCATTTTGCTTGCCTTTGTTAAGTTGCGTCTTCTTTACTTTTCTTACAGTATTCTTGTAAATTTTTCCAATCTTGTTCGTCGAAGGCACGTCGACCTGAGCGGTCCTGAAACCATTGAATTTATACGTGCATTAATTTAGAAGATTTGTTTACATTGTTTCCAGCAGATTATATATATATATATATATATATATATATATATATATATATATACATATATATATATTTGACTATTGTATGAAGCCAAAAAAATTATATATAATTTTTTTGGCTTCATACAGTAGTCAAGTATAAATAGCAACATACCGCATATAACTGAAAACAAACTAACTTTACTGATATTACGTAGTACTGAAGAACTACCCTAAGTACTTTGCTATTCATGCTAAACTTAACATTGCAGCCACAGATCTGATGATATTCTTCCGCACTGCTTCACACAAGAAGTATTATGTTAACTTTAACTAGATTTTTTGCAAAAATTTTGTTTTACGCTCAAGAGCCTCAGGGAGCGACTTAATATTAGTCTAGTTCATAGTCTACTTAGTCTACTATTTCCTAAGTATGTAAAAACAATCTTACTCAATTCTTGTGTCATTTTGAATTTTCGTTTGCTTACGCCCTAGTGTCACACATTTCCACAAAGCCCTTCATCTGCTCAGACGACTGTGCAAGTCATGGAAACGAGTCCCGGCTCCGAAAAATCAATACGCGAATCAAAAACGCAGTGAATAAACGATGCCAACTGAGTAGTACCGTTGAACAGTTTTGGAAAAAAAACCCACAAACTGCATTCAGACTGTAGCTAAGTTACATAGACTCATCTAACAATAAGCCTTTATAAAAGATGCTCAGAACAATTTTCGTGTAGTGCGTTCTTCAGCCATTTTCAATGCTCTCAACGATGAAGTCCTTGTTACACACGCCGCCGCTCCTATTCGGAGTTGTCTCAGCGACGTCTTATCTCCGGTGTGATTCAGTAAAAAAGCCGAAAATGTTGTTCCTTTGTCAGTCGACACACCCAATTTTCCAAGTCCGAACTAAAAGTAAAGATTTTACTTTTATATTTGAAACAAAACAACGATAACAGTACAGTATGTTTTTCTTCGACATGTAACGCTTGAATATCAGTAAACAAAACATCACAAATTACAAGCAAAAATAGCCATGAAGTTCTTAACAATCGAATGCCTATGATAGCCTGTACTCTAACAATGGTAAACTGTTAACGTATCAGGGTGAAAACAACTACATTTATTACACTACGTTGACCTAGTGGTCTACGGGATCAGGTAATATACACAGCACGGTCTGCCTAAACAGCCGACGACGGTCACGAAGATTCAGGTCGGTAAAAATGACACAAACGAAGCTTAGCATAAAAGGTTGTTTATATCAGTAAGTTTATACTAAATTTAGCGTGTTAAATTTACCATTAGCGTTTCATTAAGGAATGAAGATGTTAATAATGATAATAAATCGTTTGCCTACTTATACATTTGATGGCATATTAGTAAGCACCCTAGTCGTAATCAAAAAGCATTACTATTGTCAAAAGTTGTTTTTAACGAAATATTATTATTAAGTGAAACATTAGACCTACTTGGCCTTAGGCTTTGCTGGTTTCCCCATTTCCTCAAAGATTATTTGGAAAAACCACTTCTTTACTATCGACCGAGTCTTCGACTAGAGAACGCACCCGACAATGCGGGCGATTCGAGAATAACGACAAGATTGGCAATCTCGTATGAAATGCCGCTGTCGCTGACGATCGCTGAACGTGACGTGATGTTTGGACAATGGACGCACGTTCAAAGCAAGACACTTGGTTAATATGACAAAGCTGGTGCTACCAATGCTTTTATCTCTATGGAACGATCTATCGGTATATTCCACGCAGATGGCGGATATCAATTAGAGGCAAAACTTCCTCTGGGGGCTGTCGCTGTATAAAATGTTCTTCGGTCACGTTTACCACTCTTAACTTATGGAGCCAAGCTATATCTTCGTTGTTTACAAAACTGACAATAAAACAGTCACACAGACATACAGATTTATATATCAGGCTGACATAAGAATAACAACAATGCATTTATAACACTTTTCCTCAACCTATCTCCCTATACTGATGACATATTATGGCTTACAACGTATGAAATGAAGGTATTCTAATCCATATGGCGACCAGTATTAAACAGTAGTATAAACTGTATTCGTTCGATGTTTTTGCAACTTCAGTCTCAATTTATTGTCAAATGTTAATAATAATAATAATAATAATAATCGATTTTAACGCTGTTTGAATGGGAAGGCAGATACCATGTGGAAAGAGCGGGAATCGTGTTACTGGTTCTTACTATTAATTTGCAGAACTTCTGCAGATAATACCGAGGAAAACCGTGTAAAATGATTTTCTCGGATTAGAGAGAACTGAATGACCACAATTTTGTTTTTCCTCACTACGAATTAATTACTTTTTAAAAGAAACGCTTAAGACTAAAAACTCGTACAGATTAACACTAGATAACAAAAGTTTTAATTGTATTGTTTTTTTTGTACAATTAAATTGTACCGTGTATATATATATATATATATATATATATATATAGATATATACTTATTTATAATACAAGCTACGGCACCTAAAAAAGGACTTTTTTTGTTTTACTTAGAAATAGACGTTGAAAAACAAATTTGCACGCGCTAGATGTGCCGTTCCTAGCAATTATATTTGTTCAATAAAATCACAATTCATCGTGTTGAGCAATATTGGTAAATGTAAACTCATCAAATGTCGCTTAGATAATCTGTGCATAAAAAAACCTCAACGGAATTAAATTTTATATTAATAGGCTTCAAAAATTCCCAAAAATGCAGAAACTTAAAAGTACCGAAAAGCTTGAAAACGTACTAAATTGTTGGAACTTATTTGGACGACTCATATGACAATTCGCCAGAATGATCGTTAATCTCCAGTAATCCAAATAACCCATTTTAATAAACTTAAAATTAGGATCTACTGAGGGTTTTCCGGTTTAACTCATAAAACCTTTCTCGAAGTTTTAAAAAACCTCATAAGAACTGGCAAACAATTATATCAATTTCAATCTGAAAAATGATTTCGGAGATTCGTCCAGTGCGACAATATTTCATTAACACTCCAATCTTAAAAATGATGTATAGCTTTTTACCTTCAGAAGAAGAGCGGGCTTTTTTCTGCTACAACAAACTGCCGGCCTAAGTTTATCTTAATTTACGTGCCGTACCCTGTATACATGTTTTTACTAAATGTCTTACTTAATTACGCTTCTTACTAAGTTTCGAGGGTGAAGCGCATGACACATCATAATAAAAATAAACCACATGACGCTATTATTGACAGCTGGGCTTTTCATGTTTTTATGATTCACGGGTGCGCCATATTAGCTATTACCATACGATTAGTGTAAGCATCGTTCACAGGTATTAAATCTGGTTGAATCTAGACGAGTAATCTAATTAGAAATACACATTGTCATTGTCAAATTTGGAACAGAACCTTGGTGCCACCATCCACGAACACACATAAATATTTCACTAAGGACATAACACTTTAATTTCAATGAGAGTTGCAAAAATAGAATGATCTCGTTGTTTGTTCAAAAAAATTCAACCTACTTTGCAGGTTCATTCTTATTTGTCTAAAATGAACAGAAGATAAGAAGCTCACTTTCGATCACATCAAAAACCATTAAAACTTAATTTTTAATTTTTTTTAATAAATAGTAATAAAAACTTCATTAAGACAAGAACTTATTGTTCTCAATACAATGTCATCAATCACCCTGTTTTGTGTTATCTACTGTAATTCAGTTGGCCGTTACGAATAGTTGTTGTTGTATCAGAAGCTTTCAAACGTACTTCCCTTTATTAAAATTTTGTTCGCGGGGGCTCAGCTTTGGATACTTGACTATTTCGGCTGGAAACCTTGACTGGTGAACTAGGGTTGACAGTAAATATACTTTTTCTTTTTTATGAGCATAAAATCTTGATTTTGCCAACGAAATGTCATAGATATTATATATGTACAAAAGCACGATTACATTGTATAAACGTAAGAAATTGATAATTATTAATTGGGAATAGGAATAGGGAATTGATGTACCTGCCCAGAGAGATTGCTACCACACTGCACCATCTTGCAGAGACGCACGTAACGTATAACAAATGAAAACCTAGTATACAGTGAAACCCATCTGTTGCAAAACGTCGAACTATGTGTCGGTTAATCTTGTTTGCCCCCTCCACGTTTCACGGACTATCGTCCTCGTGTTATAAGATTCGGTATCGATTTCCGCCATCTTGCTCTCCCAGCACTGATAACGTTTAAATAAGAAAGGCTAGTGAAATTTAAATTTGTGTTTCAGGTCATCTATAAATCACAGTTTGTCGCCTAAAAAAACGCGTACCTGTTCGATGAAGAGCAATGGCGCGCTATGGCGCCTTTAAGAAACGCTTTTATCCGGTCGAGTTCTTGAGTTAAGTTGACGAAAGATGTTTCAACAATACCTGGATCCGGTAGGAGGTTATTGAGGTCACACTAATTCCAAAAAGAGAGGACCGTCTGTAAGGAGAGCTTGAAGATAGGTCATCTTACTCTGTCCGCGATGTGCTCGTGAAAATCTTGACTGTTTGTAGGTAAAATCACATTTTGGTATTTGAGACTGGTGACGTACTTCAAAGCCCTTCTGTCTACGTAGAATGTGCCAGTAGCAACAAGGCCTCCTCTGCGGCGAGACTTCATATTCTACTTCTTGTCCACCCTGATCGCCAGTCCCGCCTCATTCATGTATGACAAGAACTTTACGAGCGCTTGCTGGACATAAAATCAATTTCGTTCAAGGATAACCAAAACGTAAGCGTAAAGCACCATTTTTGCGTATCCCGTTAGATCCTGAACACGAAAGGACGAATCATTTAGCAGCAAAGAGAAAAGCGGTGGACTCAAGTTTTCACTCTGTGTGTGTTACCCCAGTTGATTAGACGAACGGTTCAAACTAGGCCACTTTATGGTTTACGATAATCGTGTTTCCTTGTAGAATTGTTCTAATCCAAAGAAGTACATTCTGAGGAACCCTCTATTGCGCAAGTTTTACTGAAATATTAAATGCAGTTTTAATTGTACGAACACGGCGCAGGGCCGGACGACGGACACGGTGCACCTCATGATATATGTTGTATGCCGTGAAAGTGCAGAAAGTTGAGCGAAATCCATGCTGTTTAACTGGAACAGGTGAATAAGCTTCCAAAAACGTTGTCCCATGTAGCAGCAGTTTTCTACCGACGATTATTCTTTCCCGAAGATGAGTCAGACGGATTTACCCTTGTGAATATGCTAGCCGCGCCTTTCAAATGGTCACTGTGAAGCTGCTCCTAAGAAAAATTTTTAGGCTAAAATTAAATTGCATTTTTATTTTGGGTTTCTTTACTCGCGGAAATTTAATAACATTTTTTTTTTATTTGATGATCTCCCCCTAGCAAAAATTATAATCTATGCTTGACCTAAGAAACAAAATAGTTTTAGGAGTTGTTGAATTACGCTCGTCGTAATGAATACCCGCATACGACAATTTTTTGACAACCCTGTAGAACGGCTTCTTCGGTAGACACGAACGTGGAAACTTCTTTCGTCCGGAACTTCATAGCTGTATCTTTGCAAAAGCCACCCACAATACCTACTTCCTTAATACAGATTTGCTGTGTGTATGTGTATATGCTTTTAATTCGTCCCAGATTACTTTCTTCTAAACACGACTCATTGCAAATTAATTCACTAGTCAAACTTAAATCAAGTAGAACCCATAAAGCTCCCATAAAAATTGTAAATTCTAACATCATTATATGAACATTATATAGGCTAAATGATAGGCCTCATTTATAACAACTATGTGAAATAATGAACACTATGATTAATCTACCGTAAAAAAGCGATAAATAGATAAAAGCACGAAAATAAGGACACTCCATATTGCTGACGTGCCGATGTTAATGTAATTATTGTTAGGGTTTCTATTTAGTAGTTTTCGTGTTTATTGAACAATATATACAAACTCCTTAATTCACAATTACTATCTCTACGAATTTGCCCCCTTACGCGCTTTCGTGCCCATATCGTTTTTCATCGCTTAAAATTCTTAATCAGCCTTTTTATTTTCATTCTTAAATTGGCGTTTGCATTCGTCTCCTTCCCTTTGTTTCAGTTATCAATTAATTTCACTGTCACTTCTCCTTTTGCACACGTGTAAATTGTGTTTGTATCTGTATGCAATTTATATATATTTACATAAAAGCTACGTGTAATTTAACTTCCTATCTTTTGTATGCGCGTTGTGAAGCATATTTAAATTGAACTCTGTATCGACATCTCATTATTGTCATATATAT